CACGCTGAAAAGGCTTGATGTGACGGATTTGGCTGCTCCCCAACGCTTGCCCAAGTAGAAGGTAGCCTTGTGCGCTCTTCCGCACCCACGGGCTCTTCTCCGGGTCGTTCTTGGGGCGCTTCTCCGTTCCTTCCATCACCTCCAGCAGATCATAGTGGTCAAAGATGTTCTCCATCTTGAAGGACCACTCAGCAAAGTTGTCACCGTTGAACTTGTCAAGGCCAAACACTCTAGGCTTATCCCTAGAGGGTCCAAGGCTAGGTTGCACCGGAGCAACGGGTGGATCTTGGTGTTGACCTTGTGCTTGGGCATCTTCTCTGCCTCCAGCACCTCTGCCACCCCCTTCCTCAGCTCTAGGCATGGTCGAGACAGCTCCAAGGGGCTCTGATACCACTTGTTATAATCACAATAGGCTTAGATGTGCCTATAATGAGAGATAGAGAGCACAGTCGGATTTCCGTCAGACGGCTTCAAATATTGATAACGATCTGGTCTCTGAATCAAACGGTGATCTGTAAGTTGGATCTAGAGCGCGTTGCTGTCATGTATCAGCAGCAAGTTGAATCATGAAATTCCATGAAGATTTGACGACGCTATGGCGGTTTGACTGGCAGAAGGTATAGCAGCCACTATAGTCTTAGGAGTACAAAAACTTAGCAAGAAGAGTTCGAGATGGAGATGGTTCCCAGCACCTACATACCCCAAGAGCCGAGGTTCAGGTTGGTGGTACACCACCACAGAGTTTCCAACCATGAAGAGTCTCGAAACAAACCCTCCAAGGGGCTACACCAAGTGAAATGTAACACTACACAAAGTAGCGTTACTATTTTCACTATTTAATATTTATCCGTGTCCCTTGAGCTTGAAATCTTGAGCTCTTGATCTTGTTTCTGCAAGATAAATTCTTCTTGAGTTGATGGGGGCTTGCTGCACACACCTGCGATGCGATGGACACTTCACACTCGACAAAATAGAAAACACACATGCGACACGCAAACGACGACTTGACATGCGAGTTGTAAAAACTCGCTAATGTCTTGACCGACACAAACGACATTGTGATACACCATTCAAACACACACACAAGCACTAGATAGCAATGACATTGACTCACAATTCATTCCATACCATGCATGCACACACACAAACAAGGACGACAAGCCAAGTGCAAGCCATAGGGTTGCACCAACAGCAGCTGGTACGTGCAGGTCACCGTGCCTACAGCACCGCCAACACCCTTTTTTCGCAGAACAGCCACGCAACCCCCAGAGCACCAAGTGTCCTGGGGCCCAACTTCCACGGCCGCCTCCACTACGACAACCAGTCCCAGGGCCCGTTAGCCCTCACGGCAGCTGCAGCTGCTGCTGCTGCTACGCAATCCCTGACGCCGACTGACTACCTTCTCCTTCTGTCCCTACACCCCGTCCACCCGCCTTTGCCGACGCCCCACGAACCTTGCCCCTCTGGCTTGAGGATCGACTGGGCGTGGAGGCCGCCTCCGCTGTCTCAGTGAACTCCGCAACAGAGGCAGAGGCCCCAGAGACAGGGAGCTGGGGTGCAGAGCAGCCCTGAAATACAGGGACCGCCACCGTGCCAGTGGTCTCAGCAATGGCATAGAGGCATGACTCAACCATTGTCAGGGTGGAGGAGAACTCAGCAATAGTGAGGGAGATGGGGGGCACAACGAGGAGCGCGTCTCGCACAAGGGCAAGACGGTCAGGGAGGCGTGTGGCAAGGAGGTACAGGGTGATGTACAGTAGGTGGGCGAGAAGTGGGTGGCGCGGTGCACCTCACGAGAGGCTGCATACCAGTGAGCCTCAAGGGACTGCAGGTGCGCTACGAGGTCTGTTACAATGGAGGAGGCTAGGTCGGGAAACAAAAACGGCAGCACAAGACAACCTAGGGTGGTGGAGGACTGGGTAGAGTAGAGAGCGACAACGGTGTCCCAGATACCCTTAGCAGTCTCGAGCATCTCAAAGTGAGTCTGCTCGTCAAGGGGGGAGGCCCCTAGTGACTACCAATTGCGCAGCTGCAAAGCAGGACTGCTAGACATAGAGGACGGCTAGGGGAGTCTCGAACTCAGTGCACTACGTGGACTTCGCGTTAGCAACAGGACTACAGCTGGAGGGGTTGCCATGGCGGCAGCTGGCAATGTCGACGACCACAGTGGAGACAGCAACGGCGAGCTGCTGGAGACGTCAGTAGGAGGCCGCACACGGCGGCAGTTGAGGCTGGAAGCGGGAGGCTTCTAGTGGCGGTTGTCACAGGATCGAAAATGATCAAGAGAGAGTTGCATTATCGATCAATACAAGGCACTTTTATACTTCCAAAGTACATCAGATAACCATGTTTATCCTATCCAGAGGGACTATACCCTTCTAGAAATAGAATCACATTTCCGTATAGCCACGCGAGGCTATTGGCTTTAAGGGATTACGACAAGATTACGCTATATATAGCGCGTCAATACATCCCGAGCCTGGTCAGTGATATAATTATAATAATAAGATAGACCAAATGAATCAGGAGAAAAAGGAGAATGAGATAGAGAAGAAATAGGGCAACAAGAAAGAAGTATAACGGGGTCGGAATCTCATACTTTCCCCCCTCAAAGCTGGGTGGTAAATGTAACACCCTGCTTGACAAGGTAGTCGCAAAGAGGACGACGGGCGTTACCCATATCAGATTCAGAAACCTAGTTGTCCTCAGCAGGATCATAACCCATCCAACGGATGCGAAGCTCCAAGGTGCCATGTCGACGACGGCAGTGTGCTAGCAAAGACTCGACCTCGTACTCAGGTTCATCATGGACGTGGAAGGTGTTGTGGATCTTCCAGGATGCTGGCAGGCATAAGCAAAAGGTAACAGGGGTGACCTGTACTTCAATGAGGAAGGGTTCGCAGGCATGAGGTCGCAGTTTGGATGGGAGATGGCTGATGTTGAGATTGCGGGTGTCGAGTAGAACATAGTCTCAAACGGTGATGTTGTGGTCATTGCGGTGGCGGTCAGCCTGGCGCTTCTATTGCTGCTGAATGTCGATGAGGCGCTTGTGGGTCCGATCCCAAAGCTGATGCATAGTGGTGATGAAGTCATATGTAGGTTAAATAGTGGTTGGTGCTGTCAGTTTGTGTGGGGTGAGTGGGTTGCATCCGTAACAGAGGAAGAATGGGGTATGTCCGGTAGTGGCGTAAGTAGCGTTATTGTAGGAAAAATCCACGATGGGTAGATGCAAGTCCCATTTGGAGATGTCGTCCTTGCATGCGTAGAGGAGTTGCTCCACAATTCGTTTAAGATGTTCGGTTTGTCCGTCTGTCTGGGGGTGGTAGGCGTATGACATGGCGAGTTTGGTCCCGAGCAGAGACATAAATTCTTTCCAGAATTTGCTGGTGAACATAGGGTTTCAGTCAGAGATGAGTGTGGTTAGGATACCATGCTGTGAGATGACGTAGCGAACGAACAGTTGGGGGGTCTCCTCGGTGCGTGCTGCCGTGTGTGTCGGGATGAAGTGTCCCATTTTGGAGGATTTATCGATGACGACAAGGATTGCGTTATAACCTTTTGTGGTAGGTGGAAACCCGGCTATGAAGTCTAGGCTAACCACTTGCCATGGCTGTTCTGGGGCAGGAAGAGGCTGTAGTAGTCCTGCTTTCTTCTACTTACAGCTTTTCATCCGCTGGCATGTGCCGCACGAGGCGATGAATTTCTGGCCATGTGGGGCCAATAGTAGTCTTTTGCAATACTAGAGAGTGTCTTGTTGCTACCGAAGTGTCCGACGTACAGGACATCATGGTATTCTTTGAGTAGTAACTGGCGTAAAGGCGGGTAGTTGGGTACCCAGATTTTTGTTGAGCCTTTCCGATACGCGATGTCACTGTCCCACTGTAGCAGGTGACGTTTCTCTGCCAAGGAAATTTTGGGGTCGATGGAGTACCCGTGTGTGAAGAGTCCCTTGAGTAGCGGGTTCATCCCTTTGACCTGGATAACGGCAACGTGTGCAGGCCGGTTGAGAGTGTCTGCTTTGTTTTTGTGGCCGGGCTTGTATACAATGTCGTAGTGGAAGTGCATCTCGAGGAATTCAATCCACCGGACCAGCCACCTAGAAAGGTTTGGCTGTGTCTTAAGATATTTCAGGCTGCAGTGGTTGGTGTAGATGGTCATCTTTCATCCTTCGAGATAGCATCTCCACGTTTTGAAGGTGATGACAATTGCAATGGCCTCTTTGTTGTGTAACAGGTAATTTAGTTTTGCCCCGTGCTGTTTTTTGCTAAGGTAGGCGATTCATTGCAGTCCATTCCCCTCATCTTGCATCAAGACTACTCCCACTGCCTGGTTACTGGCGTCAGCTTTGATAACGTAATCGTGTTCGGGGTCTGGCATGATGAGTAGATGTGTGGATGTGAGTGCCTGTTTCAGCTGCTCCATGGATTCCTACTGTTTTGTCTCCCATTGATAGGGCGTGTTCTTCTTCAGCAGATTTGTAAGTGGTGCGGCAATTTTTCGGGTACTGTGGCACGAATATGTTGTAATAGTTGGCGGAGCCTAGGAACTGCTGCAACTCCTTTACGTTCTTGGGTGTCTTCCACGTGCGTACTGCTTCAATTTTCTTGGGATCAACGTGAATTCCTTGAGCGCTCACCATGTGTTCGAGGAATTGGACCTTCTCGAGCGTGAACTCGCTCTTGGATAATTTGACGTAGAACCGTTCCCGACGAAGAATGTCGAAGACGCGTCGCATGTGTTCGTCGTGCTACTTCATGTTAAGCAAGTAGATGAGGATATTGTCCTGGTACACCACCTCGCACTCGTCCTGTAATGGTCGTAGAATGTGGTTCATCTCAGCTTGGAAGGTTGTCGGTGCATTGGTGAGTCTGAACGGCATGACCAAGCACTCGTACGACCCATACCGAGTTCGGAAGGCGGTTTTGTGGATGGGATTTTCCGCCATTCTTATCTGCCAGTATCCGGACCACAGATCCAGTTTGGAAAATACCATGGCTCCTCGAAGCTAGTCAAGCAGGTCATCGATTCATGGAATCAGGTTTAAATTCTTGATGGCCTGCTTGTTGAGAGCTTGGTATTCGATGCACATGCGCAAGCTCTCGACCGGTTTTGGTGTGATGAGTACTGGGGCACCATATGGTGAAGTGGATGGACGGATGAGTCCATTTTCAAGGAGATAATCAATCTGTTTCTTCATGTCGGCTAACTCTGTAGGGCTGAGCCGATATGGTGCTCGGAAGGTCGGCTTCGAGCCTGATTCCTTTACGATTTCGTGTTGGTGTGTTTGGTATGGCGGTAGCTTGTTCGGAAGGTCATCGGGAAGAATGTTGTGGATCTCCTTCAGTTATTCCTTGATTTTTTTGGGATGTTCAGAGGCTTTCTTTTCATCTTCTTCTACATTCGTTGCTACCGTCAAGAAATCGGTGTCAGTTTGTTTCACGTCCTTCTGAAATCTGGCGAGTGTCTCCACTGGGATTTCTCCTGTGTCATCCCAGCTTGGTAGTTGGACTCTCCTTCTTTTGTTGTAGATGCTTGCACTGCAGTTGACCTAGTTGATCTCGGGGTTGAATTTTTTGAGAAAGTCCTGTTCGAAGATCAGGTCATGCCCTTTTATGTTAGTGATGGGGAGGGTAGGTCCCTCCAGCGCAGTGGTCCGATTTGTAGGTGTAACACTGCTTCGCTATAGACGTGTAGCTTGCTGCTGTCCACCATCGTTGCAGAGAATGCTGAAGGCTTGCACTCTTCCCGAAGTCAGTTATTGCTGCCTTCTCGCATATGGTGTATGACGATCTGCTGTCCACAAGTGCTCGGAGGTGTCGCCCTTTGCAGATGACCTCGAGCACGAAGGGTTGGCATTGCTCGGAGTACCCAAAGATAGGATCATAGGGTACATCCCAATATTCCATACACACCTTTTCATTGCTTCCTACTCCTGAGCTAGCTAGCAGAGGCTGCTTGGAGAAAGGCACTTCTCCAAGGCCCAGAGTTTCCTTGACGACTGTGTGTGTCGTCAATGCCGAAGTTGCTGAGCTGGATGCATCCGAAGGAGGAGTTCAGGGGTTTTGCAGCTTTTTGTAGACCCCCAGCTTCCTCTTGAGCTGCTTCAGCTCCACCGACGTCTTCCCTTGGGAGCGGGTAGTCACTGTGGGCTGGTGTCGGGAGAGGACGTTGACTCCTTGGAAAGGTCGGGTTCTTTCCACACTCCTTAATCTTTTCCCCAAGTTCTCCGGTACCGGTACAATCTCCACAATTTTTTGCTTCTTCTGGAGTGCCTCCCGAAATTTCTCCAATGCTCCAGCCCCTCGAGAATCATAAGTTTTTATTAAAGCATCTTTATTAGATAACTTTAACAAATCCATATAATTTCTTGGGTTTTCAAGGAATTTCCCCGTCTCGGCAGAGTCGTCTTTCGCAAAGTTAGTTTTTTCTCAGCGATTTTCCCTGGTGAAGACTGGTCGTGGGGTGGAGATTTTCCCCCATCATTTCCTCCTGCTCGCGTCGAATCAGCGTTGTTGAAGTTGATTTTTATGGAATCCCGCGGCCGCTTTCGGATCTTTTCTTTTTCACTAGCTTTATCCGCAATCACTGTCAATTCCTGTTTTTTTTTGTCTCTTGATTGGCCGAAGAATTTCTGCCACTGTTGCGTGCCGAACACTCTGCAAGTTCGTCTTTCATTTTGTTACAGTCGAATATTCGATGGCCCAGCAGTCCTAAAAAATCGCACGTGAAGTTGGCGTTTTTCGGAAGTGGTCGCCCGTCGAACCTGTCGATTTCCATCGGGGTTGGCGAACGTGGGGTGTGCCGAGCGGTCACCCTGTCGCCGACTGCCGACGTGCGCCCGTTGTGTTCCAGCATTGACCATGTCAAACTGCTCCGCTGCCGAAACGACGTCACTGTAGCTCGTGTAATTCGTCGCTGCTACCTGTCGTTTGACTTCGGTCTTCAGCCCGGCAAGGTATGACTGTACTTTTTCCCCTTTGGTCAGGTCGGGAATGCGGTTATAAAATTCCTCCATCTGCTACACTCCCAAACTGTTGATGGTGATGAATCTTTTCCCGGGCAAGAAAACCGGAATTTATCGGCTCGAAACGTTTCAGCAAGTCGGTGCGGAACTGCTGCTATGTGGCTTTTTCGTGGATGAAGGTACTATTGCCGCCGATCCACTCGAGTGTCGCCGCAAGTCGCACGTGCTGACCATCCTAGACTGGCAAGCTCCATCCGACAGCTGCGAATTAGATCTCCAAGCTGGCGATCCATCTACGGTCGTCAGAATTTCGATCGCTTGGATTGAACGGCTCAGGTGGACGTGGCTTCGGAGCCTCGTGAAACTGTTGCGGCTGCTGCGTCATCACTGTTGTCGTTTCGTTCTGCGGGTCGAGTTACTCACTCGAACTCATTTCGCCAAGCTCCGCGGTCGGCTCGCATCTCCTCCTGTAGGGCGGCGATGCGCGCGAAGAGCTGCTGGGTAAGTTCTATGTTGTCGAAGTTCGCCATCCTGTTCAAAACAGGCGCTGAGGTGTTTATTAAAAAACGCGGAGCTGGTGCTTACCAGAATCGGCACCGAATAAGTCGCCCCCGACGGTTTTTTGAGGCAGGTTTTCCCGCGTCTGCTATTTAGCTGAGCGCGGCCGAGTGAGAAAATCTGATTACCAAGTGTTACAGGATAAAAAACGATCGAGAGAAATTTGTACTGTCGATCGATACAAGGCGCTTTTATACTTCCAAGGTAACCAAGTTTACCCTATCCAGAGGGAACAGACCCTTCTAGAAATAAAATCACCTTGCGTATAACCATGCAAGGCTATTGGCTTTAAGTGATTACGGAAAGATTACGCTAGATATAGCGCGCAAGTACATCCCGAGCCTGGTCGATGATATAATTATAATAATAGGATAAACCAAAGGAATCGGGAGAAATAGGAGAATGAGATAGAGAAGAAATAGGGGAACGAGAAAGAAGTGTAACGGGGTCAGACTCTCACAGCGGTAATAGGAAGCTGCAAGTAGGGACAGCGGGCCGCGGCGGCAGGCTGCTGCAGTGGCAGTGGGCGGCAATAGACGGTAGCGGGCGGCAGCGGGCTGCAGCGGGTGGTAGTGGCTGCGGCAGTGTCTGCGGTAGTGGCTGCTGCAGTGGCAGCTGCAGAAACAGCGAGCAGCAGTAGGCGGCAGCAGGCGGCCACGTCGGTGCGCTCCACACTCAGCAAGGTCACGACATGGTTACCTTTGAAGTAGGTCGCATAGAGTATCATGTGTTTGCCGTGGATTCTGTCCATCGACTCGTCAATGTGATCCTGATGAACAGACAGGCTTGGATGTGTCAAAGCTGTTGCTCTTCATGTGGCCAGCGATGGCTCATATGCTTTCCTTGAAGCCGTACCTGCCATGAAGATAAGACACAGAGCGGAGTGTCAATTTTGAACCCATGTGATTTGGAATGAGAAACTACATGGGTGCACAAGTGACAGTGGAAGAACAAGATCACAAAAGAAACAAAGTGCAAAGCATAGAAATTCAACTTGAAACAGGCACTTAATCCATGTAATACGCTCCATACCCACCCCCGGGGGCAAATCCGACATGCCCTCATTCGCCAAGTACCAACACAATGGTACAATCATGGCGATTGGTGCATCAGAGCGAAAGATAAACATGGCAATGTGAAGGCACCAAATTAAGTACCGCATCGACGTGTCAGTGCGCTGCCATCGAGTGAGCGTGACCTGCTGCACCCTCACCGTCGCCGCCTTCTCCTTTGCACTCGAGTGCCGTTGTGACTGCACATGCTTCCCAATTGCAGATCGCAGCCTCCCTCTCCCTTGATGCGGTAGTTGGTGTGGGCGTTAGGGTTCGCATGCTTCAAGTACACATCACATTTCTAAGCAGGGCGCCCATTCTTCATGCGGTGCAGCTACAGCCACGGGAACTGGTTCGGCCACTCATGGTCGAAGTGTATTCCGATTCTGCAGGAAGCTCCGCGTGGGAGATGCAGGTAGCTCGGTCCCACGGGAAGGGCGAGTGGGAGGGGGGCTAGCGGGTCGACAGGGAGGTGGAGCACCCTAGAGGCGTTGCTGGGTCCAGGACCCACCGTGATTTCACTTGGCGGGATCAGGAGGAGGGGAGGACAGAGCAGCGGTGGAGGGTCGGGAGGAACCGTCGACCTCCTTTGAGATTTCAGGGAAGTAGGCATCCAATCTCCCATGGGTCAGGGATAGAGGAGGGGGAGGGTCGGCGATTGGATGCGGAATGTGCTGAGCGGTGGGCTTCTAAGAGAGGTGAACATTAGGGCTACGGGCCTGGGACCTAAGGGGAAGACGCCTAGGATTGAGAGGCCATTTCGAGGGCCTTCGCTCCCATCATCACCTTCGCTTTCCTAAGACACAGCCATAGGAACTACGAGGGCTACCTTGAGTCATAGATCAAGAAAACATCAACAAGTGCTGCTGCAGCACTCGCTACAAAGGAGCTAAAGGGGGGTGGGAGAAGTGGAGGGAGAGGACGAGGGGTCTTGTCACACTTCGTCCAAACCTCCAGCCGCCGGGGGAGCACCCATGGACATGCAGCGCTGGACTGTCCTTGCCCTCTGTACGTGAGCACGCTGTTGCCTATGGCTGAGTCCCATTCGACGCCCTGTGTCGCACGTGGTGGCAGGATGTGTGCTGTCGGCCCCCCACGCGTGACGCTGGCAGCATTGCTGTCTGCGAAGGCTGGGAGAAAGACATTTCTAGTGAAATTCACGCCGTGCCTCTTTGACACCTATTAGTGGGCAGGATTGCCTGGCACATTCCCTAACCATTTTGATTTGATAACTGTCGCATCTGGACGGGTTTTTGGTTTCTGTCACAGGGTATTTTTTTACCTGACACACCGTAATAATGGTAACACCCACCGTACACAAAGAACACACATTTTGACCAAGGGTTACAACAAAAAAAATCCTTACAAAAGAAGGGGAAGTACCAAAAAGTGGCCGCGGGCAAAAATAATCAGGATGAAATACCATTCAAATCCTAGCTCATGTTCACAACGTCACATCTAATCAACCCGTGTTTTTTCTATCCACTTTCCTTGCTATAATCACCCGCACCTCCCACCAAGTCCTAAGGTTTTGGTCCAACAAGGTTTTGAGACCAGGCCCTGTGATAGGCTTTAGGTCATGCTGATTTCTCGGTGTTGGGTCGAGAGAATGGATGACTAGAGGAGGACATACAGTTGGGTATCTTTAAGGGTTGTACCCCATATAGGTCTGAACCCTAGCTAGGCTATAATTTGTACATTTCCTAATACAAATATGTACGTTAACACACCCCCTAGCCTAGGTAGAGGGTAGAGCCTAACAAGAAACAGAATTCCAGGGCAGCACTACTAGTATGGCCTCTGGAGTATGTAACAAAACAGCTCAGGGCAGCATTACTAGTCTGACCACTCATACAGGGGCCAAAAGGCCAGTTAGCAAGTGTAACAAGGTAGCCAGTATAGGGTAGCAAGTACAAAAGCAGGTAGAGCATGGATCAAGAAACAAGCAAGGGAGAGGCTACTGAGACTAGACCAAGCTGAGTACATAACCGCTGATGGTCATGAGGCGCAAGGGCCTTGGTGAAGATATCAGAAGTGTTGGCCTCTGAGGCCAGTTGTACTACACGAGCCTGTCCACGCTTCTGCAACTGACGCCGCAAGCAGTACCGCAGCTGGATGTGATTAGCCCTGCCCTCAAGTCAAGCCTCCTGACGTAGGAGGATCATGGCCTTGTTATCAACAAACAAGACCGAGGTAGAGCTACAGTAGGCTGCTCACCTAAAACAGTGTGCAAGAACGTCAGCCAGCGGAGGTCCTAAGCGGACATGGCCCCAGCTTAGATCTTTGCCTCACAACTGGACTGAGCTACAGACGACGGCCTAGTGGACCTCCACGAGAGTGCACCCGCACCAAGACTAAAGTAGTAGCAGTTTGAGGACCTGAGTGTCTCCAGGTCGTCAGCCCACGATGCGTCTGTGTGTCCACTGAGGTCCACTGGCTGCCGTCCTCCCATAACAAACACCAGTCCTGATGTACTCGCAAGATACCGCAATACCCTCTTGGCAGCCGACCAGTGTTGAGGTCGGCGTCTGCCAGTCGCAACAAGGCGAGCAAGGATATATAGAGGGTACGCTTGATTTGGTCAAGTGCACGTCATTGGGTACATGAGGCATCCCACCAGCTCTGCGTATGGACCACTAGGCTCGACCTGCTCAGCAGAAACAGGAGCAGAGCGCTTATAGTCCACAGGCAAAGGGGTGGGCTGTGTGATGAGAAATGAAGACCGAACCGCTGGAGGATCTGCTGCACCATGTGGGACTGGGAAAGTGTGATCGTGCACGCGACACGGTCACGAGAGATCTCCAAGCACATATAGCACCGCAACTCTCCAATGTCTGTACATGTGTGACGCCAGAGCAACGCGGCCTTCACTGGAGCCAATGCGTTTCTGTTAGGAGTAGCAAAGATAAGGTCATCTATGTATACAAGTATATAGAACAAAGTCTGACCGATACGAACAAAGAGCTAAGGGTCAGCATAGGACGGAAAGAATTGAAGGGCGACAAGTGTAGTGTGGAGGTATCGTGCCACTCAAGGGGCGTCTGACGTAGACCGCAAACAGGCTGGTGCATGCTCCACTGGGTACCATGTAGGAAGGACCCAATGAGGCCTGGTGGGCACCGCAGATAGATCTGCTCGTGAAGGCTGAACTGCAAGATGGCTATCAAGAAGTCCAGAGAGTGGAGCTCGTAGTCACGCTGTGCGCCTATGTGGAGGAGCACCCGAAGAATGGTTATCTTTGGGTTAGGGGAGAAGGTATGGAAGTCGTCCACACACTCTCGCTGAATGAAACCTCTACCACATAATGCGCTTTGAACACAAGGGACTCTCAAGGCGGGCGCTTCACCCTATAGATCCACATGTCGTCCACTATGTTCGATCCAAGCGGGGAAACAACGTCCATGTAAGTGCCCGTGGATCTCTAAGATGCCATCTCTACCTCCACAGCATGTATCCACTAGGTTGCCTAGACACCCAAGACCGCTTCAGCGTAGGAGCACGGGATAGGGATGTCCGGGACGTCCAGGTCACCCTCAGGGGTCACAAGCACGGCGCAGAGGTGAGGTACAGCAGCAGGAAAGAAAGCTAGGTCGTACTGCCTATCCTCTAGAAAGTCATTGTCAACGGCAGGTGCACCTTGGACAAACGGAGGATAGGCAAGGTCATTGACTAGAGCGGAAGCATAGTCTGTTGTGTGATGTCATTATATGCCATCACATTCTACCTGCCTCCCATCCCATGTTTTCAACTTGCATGTGTGGTTTGAACATGTGCAAGAATTTGGGAATGTGTGTGGTGTGTTATGGAGTTTGGGAATGTGTTTTGTGTTATTTTTGTTTTAGCAGGTATTTGTGCTGATAGATCTTGAGAAGATCTTTCCGACGCAACAAGAATCGTTTCAGTCGGAGCAAGAACGCTAAAACTGTGAAGATTCAAAGTTCATGAGCTTGCGATACAATTGCGACAGTTACAAAGTGAATTTGTGGGGTGACTCAATATGGAGTTGGGACCTTTGGGGGTTGGGGAAATTCGTCACTCTATTGTAGCAGCTAAAAATTGGTTGGGAACAACCAAACTAGGTTGTCAAGGGTGGCCAACTTGGATGGATTGGTTGGGAAGGGACAAAGGTCAAAGTTGAGGTTCCTATAGGGAGGGAACTTTGTGCTTATGGGGTTTCCTTGGTTGGGAACTCTCTTGGGACCTTCTCTCTCATCCCTCTCTTCCCTTCCAA